CTTTGAGTATTTGGTATATGATCCAAATGGGATTTATTGAGGTTATTTGATAAGATTATATAAGTTTTTGTATGCTTTAAATTTTGATAGCCTTGTTATTTTGAATAAAATTAATGTGTTTGCTTGAAAGTAACATCTATTTTTTTATTTAATAAGGAAAAATTAAAGTATCAGAATATAATCGACTATGCAGCATTCTTCTTATACTTGAGGATTTTAGTTCATATATTCAACTTTTGGTTCTATAATTCAAGTAATTTTTTAGTTAATATTCTTTTCGCAATCTGATTTTTAGCTTTTCAAGCTTGTTATCTACTTCATTATGAGGTCAAGAGTCTATGCTTTATAAGTTTATCAATTTGATATTATGTGATACCCTAAAAATTATTAAAAATCTTTACTTGTACTCCTATGAATCTCATCTATTTATCAAGGCATGGATTAAATGTTTGTTATCTCAGTATATTACCAAAAAATTATGGATGATTAGACACTACTAGAAAAACGAGTTAAAAAGTCAAAGGAATCAAGAAAAAAGGAAAATCATATTTAGGATTATCATATTAACTTGTATTTATTGATCAATCAATTATATATATCCATGTAATAAGAAATAATTACAAATACAAAAGTGTTATGAATGAGATCGTGAAAGAGATAAATGTGATAAATGATCTAGGATGTCGCGTGCATAATCTACTTTAAATCCCATTAAGCTATATAATTCTAAAAGATACATAGCAATTGAGCTCTCAAAAAGCATGCTTAGTTACACAACTTATTCTTTCAAGTTTGCCTATTGTAGTGTAAATACGAGAGTGGAAGATGAAAGAAATGGATCACAGATCCATGTCACCCATGGGTCAACTCGGGCCATGATCCCATGTAATAGAAGCATGGGGAGGGAAGTTACCTCCCGTAAAAAAATATGAACATTAAAGGAGTCCAAAAAAAAAAAAAAACATTATGAGAGTTCTGTAACTAGAAAGAGAGAAGAAACGGGTTCAGAGAGTTCTTCCAAGGAATTTGGCATTCAAGTGGAAGGAAAGCCAAAAACCCTTCCATGCTGTCAAAGGGATTGAACATTGCAATTCAAGTCTATTTAGGCTATGAATATTGAGTACGATTAGTGTTTAATTAACATGTGATCATAGTTAGACTAATGATACAAATTCCATAGGATATTTTGCATGAAATGGATTTTGATCCTCTATTAATTTTCCTATACATATTAAGAGGCTAAAAAGAAAGAAGCAAAAGGACTTGAAGCCTTAGGATAGGAGAAGAAAGTCTCAGGGAGAAATTATGAGACTTCTGATAAATGGGGCAAAAACTCAACACATTTCGAAGGATATGAGCATATGCGGGAACCATTTTACACAACTGAATTACATAAAAGAGTAATTGTTTTTCTGTATTTTTTCACACAAACAGGGTAGGACAGGTCTGGATTTCAGATCATTGTATTTTTTCACACAAACAGGGCAGGACACGTCTGGATTTCAGATCATTAGGAAAATAAAGTCTCAAAAACAAGGGTCCAACTATCTTTGACAGAATCTACAACAGAAAAACAAAACCCTGGGCACCAGAAAACTTTACTGATTGCCTAAGGCCAAATCATGCCAAGCATCTGCATCAACATGTTGAGTATCCTGATCTGAAAACAAGAGCAAACTCGAATATGGGTTACAAACGGACTAGCAGCATTGATTGAAACACAACATGACAAAAACAAATTGATCTAAAGAAACACCAGTGCCCTTATCTCAACTGTGTTTCTAAACAGTGAAGGATTAACTAGAACCACCCAACCAAACAGCTCTCATCATTTCCAGCCAAGTCTCCTTCACTTAATAAACAAGCAAAAATATGTAAAGGGAAAAACTGTTCCAGAAACTCAGTCTGTGTTGAGCAAACCAACTAAATTGTCTTTGTAGACTGACTGAACATATATTAAAATTACTGAAAGATGGTATTAAAAAAAAAAAAAATCAGACTGAGTTTCACCTCCAGTGACATTACAGAAACAACGATTATAAAGATGGGCATCCAATTGAACAAGAAAAAAAGATAAATTTCCCCAAAGTTTAAAAAACACTAAAACAAAGTTTGGGAGGCATACTTGAATCTTCAGCATCATCAGTCCTCACAACCATCACTGGTGGTAATGCAAGATCTGCATTCAGTTAAAACAAGCATAATTCAAAACTTTGGGAAATTAAAGGTACTGTTAAAAAAAGAAAGCTGCATTGGATAATTAGCACATGAATAAAAATGACGATACCATCATCAGGCAAAGTGTCTCTCATCCATTCCTCGTCCACAATATCTATAAGAATACCCATGTTTAGTTCCGCCATATTTGCTTCTTACTTCAATCAGATTCCCTTTCAAAAATACACACCACAAACATTATACACAAAACAAAGGTTAAGTAACATTCGATATCAACGCTCCAAAAAATAAAGTTTGGTTGAGGCGTTTTATCGAGCAGGTTGAAGTCCTATATTACACTAAAGCTAACATTAACACTATACCAAAAAATTGTCCAAAGCAATGAAATTGAAGAAATAAAAGCAAAATCAAAGAAGGAAACTTAAGGATATGTACCTATGCCGACGGCGACGGCGACGGCGACGGCGAACGAGGAACAAGATCCGAACCCTCCTAAATCCAAGTATTGAAACACGACAAGCAGTGTGTGTCCTGTCCGTATAATTGCCTAAAATCGAGATTTGGGCTTGGGTCATAGATGATCGTGTTCAGATTTGAAGCAAGCCCATTGGCCATTGTTTTAGGTCTGGGCAAATTTTGTGGACACCGTTAATCAGGAAAGAAAGGGACAAATTCAGTAATTAGCATACAAATTAAAAACAAATAGTGAATTAACATTACAGCAAATTTTTTTGAAACAAATAGTGAATTAACATTACAGCAAAAAAAATTTATGAAATAGAACACTTTTGAATGTAAGAATTCAAAAACATGATATGAATTAAATTTTATGCTTATAAATGATAACATCAATTAAATTCTAGTAATCATCTCAGTTATTTCACAAAAATTCCAAGAACAAAAATAAAATTATGATATTTATTATTTAATTTGTTAGTTTTATATTTAATTTAGTTGATGATTCTACAGAATAAGAAATTTTTTATTTTAACAACATTTGGGTAGAGCTTCTCATATTTAAGAATTATATCTAAAATTTTATTTCACTTAAAAATACCTATAAAAAACCATAATAATCAAATACAACAAATTCTTACATTTTATAATCACAAATATCTTTAGGAATGCAAATAAATAAACACACATACAAAATGAATCTCAAATACTTAAATAATAGAACTTCTAATAATTAAAATCTCAAAATATATCAATATAACTCATTTATCTATCTATGTCTACACCATCTACTAGATGACCCAAGCTTATCAATAACATTATTGTTTCTTGCTCCTGCTCCTACCTGAATAGTCTCATCCTCTATTATGACATAATTAAAAGTTAATCTTTCTCTAAATATATCAAATCCATTACAGCAAATATTGAACCATTGAGATATATAGGTGTGTCCTACATGAATAGTCCTATGTTTTCTTTATCAATATTACAAAACATGAATGCGATCTCTTGGCCTCCCATAGTAACAAGTCAATCTAATATTAATAAAATATTAATATTAACTTTAAAAATCAATAAATAAAACCCAACATTTTAAATATATTAATTAGTTACGATATTTTAAATTCACTGTGCATGTTGCTTGTATTGCATGTATATAAGTAAAGAAACTGCTCAGGATCCAATATGATACTCATATATTAAATCAAATACTTCTTCTTTACAATTACATGATGCATTTTTTATAAATATCTTATTTCTATGTGTATCATAATGTGATAGGTAAGCTTCATGACGGTTTGATCAATTGTAACCATCATCTTTACCCCAACATTTTGTGACTTGCAACACATCATTCATCTTGATATTAATTGAAATGTGTTGTATATAGTTAAACTGTTGTTTTACCTGATCTGAGCAATATAGTTTAATCATTTAAAAAAAATCAGTGGAACCATTAATGTTCATATATTCATTTCTTTAATGTAAATAGCTAGAGTAACTATCACTCTTTCATTCAAAGAAGGCGTTCACATGACTTTTAAAATGAGTTTCTTAAAATTATAAAATAAGAATTTGGTAAGGTTAAGATTTTTTTTTTTAACAAATGGTTTAAAAAATACATGGATAGCACAGTACTTATCTAGCTCGTTCTAATAAAATAATAACACATGTGTTATATTATTATTAAATACCCTACTAGCACACCATCTAACATTACAAATATTTCAATTTAATTGTATTTTTAAAGTTACAATTACATAATATAAATGCATACAACTGCAAAATAAAGTTGTAATACTTGCATTCCGGTAGGAGTTAAAGTGTAACTCTCTTAGACAATCATAAATAGTAATCTGACTATTTAGGATTGGGTCACATGAAGATGCTCCCAATACCATAATTTTTATTAAATAAATTTTTTTTATTTCATGTTAACAACAAACATTTGTAATGTAAATAGTTATTTTAAATTCTTCAATTGATACTTGTAAAAATAGTTAACATCCCTCAACTTGTTTGACTCCCTTCATGCATTCAAGACACATATGTCTATAGAGGCATGCTAAGATAGTAGATCCCCAACTGTAAGTGGGAATGACGTTAAAATTATCTAGGAGCATGAGATAAATTAATGACACATATCTCTCTATAAGGTCTGTGAATAATACACTATCAAACATACATAATATATATGCTTTGATATACCTAAATAATACATTAAAATTATCATGCTAACTCATGCCAACTTAACAAATAATCAACACATTCAAATCATAATTTAATTGATATCTCTGCAAGACATCGTTGTTAGCATCATATGGTAGTGTGGTGAATATCTTCACATTCCATTTAAGACGTATGTTACCCTTCCTTTAATTCAAAATAAAAAGGTGTCAATCTAAATGCACACTTGCATAACATAATTCGATTATATACACCTGAAGATGTGACTTCTCGTCTATCAATAAGAAGTCCAAAAAAAATTGCCACATCCTATAGTGTTGATGCATCTCCTTGTGCCTACAATGAAATGTGCGCATTGCTCAATTATGGCATGGATCAATCCATGGTCAAGTTTGATGTGCTTTAGATAAATAATGTATAAAAAACCAGCCTAAAACATTTATGGTTGAATCTACTTATGTAGTTTCATCTACTTATATGTTCGAAAATAAATTATGGTCTTAAAATACATAATAATTTAAAATATAATTACCTAAATATATAAAATCTATAATAATAAGTAATAAAAAAATTATTTAAATTAAATATTTTTACGATCCCTGTGAAAATATCCTTCAATCAATCTCTATCTTACAACTGCATGACAAAAGTGTCATCGAGTCCGGTAAACATGTATTCTGACTCAAACTCTCTATGAAAATCATCATGCTTTTTTTGGATGTCATTATCATGCTTTATAGGAATACCATTGTTGTAATGTGGCCACCCAATAAGAGAAAAGGGTATGTTACCTCATGTGTGTGGTATCCTATATAAAAGTACCTATGTTTGATGTGAAATTAGATAAGTTTAATATGCTTTTCAAAAATATCATAATATATTTGACTAAATATTTGTTTTTTCATATATACATTGTCGATTATGATTTTTTTTTTTTATTATTATAGGTTATGTCATTGCATATGTCACCCCTATAATGCTCATGAACCTCTTTTACATCTATGGTGTTGTGAAAACAAGTAGACATTTGTCTACTAAGCTTAAATTTTCATAATGATGAGTTTGCTTCAATTCGAGGTTCTGCGTAATCACTTTATTCTAACTTGTCCGGTAATGGATGGAATGAAATGTCATATATTGATCTGTAACTTTAAACCACATAATAATTATTAATAAATTGTACAAAGTTTAAGTGATTCTCCGCACAATATGCAAGAATATGTGAACATGGACGTGAAAATATCTATTATTTACCACATGTGCATATTCTATAATTCAATTTCAACACTATTTTTTTAGAAAACTTGTTGCTCTGAGTCAAACAACATTGAAGTATGATCTCTTGATATATCTTTGCTCATTATTAATTCAACCTGAATTAATAGGTGTCAAATTATCTTACATTGAATAATAACTATTATACCTATAAAACGAGCATTAAACACACAAGAATGATGAAAATGAACTTTAGCCAATTCATTAAAAAAAATCTTTAATTTATGTTTTATTTTATTTTATTGGTATATAGGCATAATAGGCCATTTAATTTAGGTTAAGCTTTCAATGAATTTAATAAACTTATTATTAAGTTGCAATAAATATTTTAAAAATATGCCAACCTAAATTAATTTTTCTCTTTTTGAAATGCTAAACATTCTTAGTTATGCAATGAGATTTCTTTTCTTTCTTGTTTTTTTTTTTGTCTTTTTTAGATACTTGATCATAATGCAATTTAAAAAAAAACAAAAAAAAACAATGGTCAATTGTTTTTTAATGGCATTCTCCTTTTTAATTTATCC